CCTTAAGGGTGACTTCTTGCCACTCCTTAGAAGCCTGGAAGGCAGCCTGAATGGGCGCCATAAGCTCGTTCAGGGCCTTGGAGATCGCAGGCTTGAGTAGTTGGGGGGAAAGCTGCATGTCGATTAGCATCAAGAAACGGCAATCATAGTCGGTCCAGACAGCTTACGATATCAGCCTCGTAGTCAGCGCGCATCTGGGCGACATCCTTGTAGACGAGAGGCTCCAGGCCATCCCGCTCACGGTCGACGGTGAAATGACGCCCTTGGAACTCGGCGGCCGGAAGCAAAACAAACTCGGTAAATGCTAGCAGACCATTGCCCTCGGCAACCTTGGGGATGGCTTCCGCCTTCTTGATCTTGCGCGCGACGACCTCAGGGGGGTCGAGAAGATCGATTTTGCTGTCGGGGTCGCTGGAAGACATTTTTGAGCCCTGAAGTCCAGGTACCATCGGGTTCATCAGATGTGCGCGCTGGAAATATGTCAGCCTGTAGTCGCGATGTCGGGTGTAACGGCAGTTACCTCCTTGTATCCCAGCTTGGGCAACCACTCCTTTGCGGCAGCAAAAAGCTTTCTCTGATCCACACCGCCAAACTGGCCATCGACCTTAAGATGCTCCTCGTCGAGAACTTGGAGGATGGGGTAGAGGAGGCCGGAAAGGGGGGCGTTGTCGGACTGCTTGACGACCTCGGCGCCAGCCTTCTTTGCGTCGTGCTCTGACACCACGGAGCAGAGCTTGTAAACGTCCATAATGCTGAGGACAGCAGCGGGTCAGCGTTTGTATCGGGCCGTGGAAGAAACAGACAGCAACCTGCGACGAGGAGACATACTACTCAGGGCTCTTCTGGTAGGAGCTGCCCAGGACAAACTCCAGCTTCTCTGTCGGGACGCCAACAGCTTCTAGTATGGCGGTGACAGCATAGCGGTAGTACTGTGCGCGGTACTCGACGATCTCGTAGGGGCTCTTTAGGTTGTCGAGGAATCCGTGGACTTGGAACGTAGTTAGTCTCTCTTTGGCGGTCAAGGGGGTCGCTGCACATGGTATTGCATACTATCGGCGAGGAGAATGACGACGTTGCAGCCGGCGGCAAGCAATTGGGCGATCTTCAGGGCTGGGACGAAGTATCCGCAGTGCGGGCGGCCTTGGGAGACAGTCAGTCGTGGCGGGAGACGGGATGCGAACGTTGCGACGAACCGGTCGTGGCGGTACCTGAAGCCAGTAATGGTTAGCAGTGATTCGCAACGGCGCGACACATGGCGTGGCAGTGAGGATATCCGGAAGTCGAGTCTTACCCCAGTAGATTCTTGGGTGGCGGCCCTCGTCAATGGCCTTCTCGATGATCTCGGGGTTGAGGAATTCGGCGAGGTTGACACGGATCAGGGCGAGCTGCTCCTCCTTGGAGAGGGCAGCCTGCTTCTCGCCGGTCAGGAGGAGCTTCACATCTGCGGCCGAGGCAAGAACCTCATCTGTCGTGGAGGGCGCCATGTTGTGCGGTGGTCTGTATGGGTTGGTGTGCTCGTTGTGTGGATCGAGACGCGCTTTCTAGGGAAGGGACTGGGAATACAGGCGTGAGTCAGAATTCGAGTTGGGCGCCGCGATGCCTCAAAACCAATTGACTGGCCACAGCGGGGTAAATTTTGAGTCGCAGATTGACTGGACGCACCGGGGATGAGGGGCAACATCTTTTTAGTGGGGTCGGCCGGGGTCTAGCCTAGCGTGTTTGTCCCCTGGTTTGGTCGGACTGGGCCAGCCATCCCGGTCTGTTGTCACCGCCAGGAAATCCATCCATCGGCTGGCCATTCATGGAGACTTCGAGGTCACCACTTGACCATTCACCTAAAGCTCTTCACCTTCAGCCTTAAATGCGAGAGGCGTGCTTGACCTGCGACACATGCGCGCTGTGAATGCAATGAGGACCCGACAAACCGAGCGTCTTTTCTTATCAGTTTGCCGACCTCATATTCCGATGATGGGTACACCTTTAGGAACAGGAGCCGGAACAGGAACGCGACGTCGTGACGTGGATAACGTCTCCTTATTCACTCGGCATGTTATTCGAAAGGTGATGAATCTGGATTTTCTTACAGCGCCCACACCCAGACTCTTGATACTCAAGATGCATGGCAAAAGGTTTGCACGTTTGTCAGGCCTTGAGCTCTGAGGAAGGAACGGCGTCTCACGGATGTCTGGGGTGGGTCGCCCTTTGCGCTTGCCAGTTGGGGTGGCTGCCATCACGTCTTACAAGCACGCAATCGAATCGCAATCAAGCGCTATCGGTCACCTCCAAATCCACCGTCGCGATGAGTCCGGTGATCCGCCAAAAACAGTCACCCATCACTCATATTATATTCTCGCCGTTGCAACCATCGTTGAATTTCATACCTCGAACTATTATTCATCATCGTCGTCTTCGACTTCAGGACTGTTCCATCAAGAACCGCCGCAAGAAGCATGCGATCAAGCTCGCCTGGCCCTCAAGTTCAAAACACCCTCGCGCCAAGCGATATTCAACGCACCCGCATGCGCCCCCGATAACAACCACCGCCCAAGCCCCCTTTACTTACTCATCGGGTAACACGACCCGGACTTGGCCATGTCCGAACTCGATCGAAAGAAGACCGCAAGCCCGGCCTACGACTCGGATGCTGTCGACAGCGAGGCCTCAAGTGAAGTCTTTGACAGCGACGGCACGCGACTCCTCTCAAACAACGGCGTGAACTATGGCTCCATTCCGACAGGGGGAGTCGCCCAAGCATTCAAGATCCCTGAGTCGAGAAAGATTGGCGTCACAGGTGCGGTCTTTTTGATCTTGAACAAGATGATCGGGACTGGAAGTGAGTTTTTTGCTCCTACGATGTGTCGTCCTCGATGGAACAAATCACTCACCCAATGCACAGTCTTCTCAACGCCATCCAGCATCTTTGCAGCAACAGGCTCTGTGGGAATCTGTCTGCTGATGTGGGCAGCCGGTTCGTTCCCCCCATGTCAAAAATACCGCCATCTGCCATGACGGTTGCTGACGTTCTCCTTGTAGCCGGCGTCCTCACGCTATCCGGTCTTGGAGTCTATCTGGAATTCGGCCTGGCCATCCCACGATCCGGCGGCGAGAAGAACTACCTCGAGCGCATATACAAGCGCCCCCCCTTCTTGGCCACCAGCATCTTTGCCGTGCAGATGGTCATTCTCGGCTTCTCAGCCGGAAACTCGCTCGCATTCGGCCGATATGTGCTCCTGGCGCTCGGATATCATCTCCCTGACGGCTGGGCTGCTCGAGCAATCGCCGTCCTGTGCATCACATTCGTCGTTGTTCTGCACGCCACGCTTCCGCAATGGGGCCTCCGACTCACCAACGCACTGGGTGTTTTCAAGGTCGTGGTTCTCCTTCTAATTGTTTTCTCGGGCCTTGCAGCCTTGGCTGGCCATCGGCTTGTCCCCGACCCTCACAACTTTGATAACATCTGGGTCATTGAAAAGGGGGATGGCTACGGGGGTGGCGGCGCTTATGCGTACGCCACGGCTTTGCTTCAAGTCGTCTACAGCTACAAGGGCTGGGAGAACGCCAACTACGTCCTCGGGGAGCTCAAGAACCCCCGCCGGACACTTTCGATTGCTGCGCCCCTGGCCGTCGTGGGTGTTACCATCCTGTACGTGCTCGCCAACGTCGCATACTTTGCCGCCATACCGAAAGAGGACCTGGCCAAGTCCGAGGTGATTGTGGCCGGCTTGTTCTTCCGCAATGTGTTTGGTGAGAGTATAGCCGCACGGAGTCTTCCCGCCCTCGTCGCTCTCAGCAACATTGGCAATGTGCTTGCCGTGAGCTTTGCGCATTCCAGAGTCAATGAAGAGTTGGCGAAGGAGGGCATCTTGCCGTTCAGCAAATTCTGGGCTTCCAATAAGCCATTCAATACCCCGGCCGCGTCGGTGAGGTGCTTCCTGCTCTGTTTCTTTCAGCGGTGTCTAACTAAAATAGTTGCTGCTCCACTGGATCGTTACAGTCATAGTCCTCGTGGCACCGCCTCCAGGTCCTGCATACAACTTTATCGTCAATCTGTAGGTTTGGTGCTGCTTTTATGCTCATCAACGCATGCTGACACTGTTTTTAGATACACCTACCCAGGTTCATGGATCAACGCCTTTGTCGCAGGCGGCCTGATCTACTTGCAATTGACCAAGTCGGAAAACTGGTCATCACCATTCCACAATCCCCTGCCAGTAACAGTGGTTTACCTGCTGCTGAACGCCTTTCTTGCCCTCACGCCATTTATACCACCCAACAGCGACTGGAATGCCGATGGATACCCCTACTACGCCTTCCCGATCGTGGGTTGCGCCGTTTTGCTCCTGGGCGTGGTGTATTGGGCGTTCTGGATCAAGGTGTGGCCGAAACTCGGGGGATATGTTGTCGTTGCGGAAACGTCGATTGATGAATATGGCGCCGAGGTGGTGACGTACGGGAGACTTCCAGCGCGGGAAGCAGGGTTTCTAGTGTGTGAGGACGAGTAAGTTTACGTTGATGGCGGTGGATATGGTTTATGAAGTGATGATCTTGGACTGGTGTTTGTAATGGCATAATCAGGAGCGGTTTGGCGTGTTTGTTTGGGTGCATTGATTGGCGTACTACATCGGGAGTTAGACACGAGTTTGGAGCATGGGTTTGGGATTTTGATTAGATCATCGAAACGATAGACTTACAAACATTCTTTCCACTATTTCTTTAGCTATTAACGTTAGCGATAGAAACGTTTACGAAACAAATGCTTCCAATGCTGAACTATCTGCAATACAGGTGGTTAACACTAATATAAAGTTTAAAAGAGAACCTGAATTAATATCTCAAATCCACTGCAAACCAAAACTCACACAACCCATAACACTCCAAGCCACTGCACTCACAGAATGTGGGACTTGGTCGGGACCCACTAAATACCTACTGTGTGTAACCCACCCACACCAGCTGACTTGATGCACTCCACCACCCCGACCTTGTATCAAGCAAACCAAGCCCGATTAGCTCAGCTGGTTAGAGCGTCGTACTAATAAATAATTCCTTCTGGAGTATTTATCAAGTCATGCGAAGGTCAACAGTTCAATCCTGTTATTGGGCAACCATTTCTTTTTGCCTTTTTCTTTTCTATTATCAATCCTCCAACTATTACTGGCACCCGTTCTTGTCTTTTGAAAGAATCGAATCGACCTTTGCGAAAGGTCAGCCGTTCAATTTTGCCGTCGAGTCACCACGAACCGGCTCAGGAAATGTCATTCCTTTTTCCCACATTGTGCCCATCCATCCATTCATCATTACAACTGCCCTACTTATTATGCCACACACAGTAACTTGACGTGCAATCGTTTCATTTCTCGCCACCTTCTCTCGTTTCAACCTGTACTTGCAAGACACCACCAATCGAGAATAACACCTCGCATCGATGCAGCATCACAACCCTCAAAGTTCGTCGTCCAAGCGTACAGCGACGCGGTTCCGTCCATTGCACACAGACCTTCACGCCCATCATCATCCATCATTCGATGGCCGGCGTTCAGTTTGTACTTTTTGCCATCCTTCCCTTCCACCACCTTCCTTTCCGTGTCGTTGATTTCGTACTAGTAGAATCGGTCGGGGATGACGATCCGGGATTGACATGTTCGATGACCCCGCACACCGCACGCCGTCCCTGTTTCTCGAGGTCTGACCACACGGGAGAGAAATCGAGGACCCAACCTGCGGATGCAAGCTGATCCGCCCGCCTTTGCACACCGGCAGGTCAGAGCGTGCAGGCACACCCGCGGGTAGTAGAGTGTCGTCATGGACAGGGCTGGCAGCTTTTATGTCTGGACCTGCTCTGCCGTGAGGGGTTTAGGATCAATCATGTCAATGCTTTTAGACATAGTGCTTACCTCTCACTCTCGTTGCCTTCCTCTTGGGATCAGCAGTGCGTGCGCAAACTGGTCGGCTCTCAAGGCTGTCACACTCTCCCAAAGAGAACGCTGCTTGGACATCATGGGCTATCATTGATGTTGTTTCTTGCTTGTGGTGATCCGTGCATCATTTCCTGCTCTCCGTTGCTTGGTGCTTGTTATGTCGCGCATTTATAGATGGACTGGGCTCGGGGTCGGTGTATCTCCATTGGTGTTCTGAGGGTATAATAGTCTGGATGTCCACCCTAGCGTGATAGTCGACTGGATTGAACGGGGATTCACGGCTTGAAATGGTCGCTGCTCGACATCCCGCCAGATCGGATGCAACCAAAGATCTGTCTGCCCCTTGACAAGCCTCAACCACCTTAGTGACTACTTGCACCCTACCACGCATTTTGATTCATTTCGTAAAGATACTCGAGAGCCAAGATGGACACCGATTGGAAAGCCGATTGGCAAGACCAGCAACGTCAAAATGGCCTGATAGTCACCTCTGTGATCATGACCACCATGGCGAGTATGCCAAACCAACGTCCTCAAACCTCTTACAGATCAGAACGCTCACGGCACTCTCAGCAATCTTCGTCGTGCTGCGATGCATCAGTCGGTTTGTCATTATCAAAAACCCCGGCTTGGATGACTACTTTATTATCGGAGCTTTGGTTCGTCAAGGTCTTGAGCTTGTCATATGAACTTGGCTGACACTGCCCACTCAGGTATTCACCATTGGCTATCTCATCGACATTTTCGTTTTGAGGAACAACCACTTGGGTTTCCCAATGACGATGCTCACTCCCGATAACATGATCAATTTCATCAAGGTGCGAAATATGAAACTTCCTTCTTTGACAACCGCTGAATTCGCCAGATCCGGCTTTTCACTAACATGGACCAAACAGACCACCCTAGCAGTGCAGGTCATGTACTACACCATCGTATTCTGTATCAAGACGTCGATCGTCTACACATATCTTCGATTCGGTATGTTCTAATCAACTCATTCCACGCTGATCGACGCAACAGAACTAATCAACTCTCATAAACCAAAAGCCGTCACGACAACCTTTCGCAACCTCTGCATCGGCACCATCACCGTGCACGCCCTTTTCTTCTTCATCTGCTTCGTCGTAACGCTCGCCCAATGCAACCCGCTGCACAGGATGTGGGATCTCACCAAAACCGTCGAGGGAACCTGCATCAACACCACCGCCTTCTTCTACTGTACGTCCCCCTTCTTTTTCCATACTCCTCATCTCATGCACAAAAAACCACACACACTTAGAAACACTTACCAACACTCACCCTTCCCTCTGCAGTCACATCCGCATTCAACATAATAACCGACATCTGGATCCTCGCACTCCCCATCAAGACCCTGCGCGAGATCCACCGCCCGACCCGCGAGAAGGTCGCCCTCTTGATCATCTTCGGCGTCGGCACCTTCGCCGCTGTGGCCTCCATCGTGCGTCTGCACACCATCTACACCTACACGGAGGCGACCGATCCGTTTCGCGAGGGCGTCCTCGTTAACGTGTGGTCCGTCATCGAGGTGTGCATCGCCATCTCGTGCGCCAGCGTCTCGGCGCTCAAGCCCGTCTTCAGCGGCCGGCAGCGGCGCATCATGCGCGCTGGCTCCGATCTGCGATACACGACGACGACGACGACGGGCGAGTCAAAGAGTGGTAATAGGAAGAGAGATTATAGTCGTTGGCATGTGCGGTTAGGGAGTAAGGGTGAGTTTGTTGACGGCTCGGGGGGCCAGCAGCGGCGTTGGTTGTCGAGCGGGTCTGGGTCTGGGTCTGATCCGGGGTCGTCGGCGGAGATGGCGCAGGTGGCGAGGGCCTTGTCTGTGTCGTCGCCTGTGCAGCGGCCGAGGCTGGTGGCTTTGCCGCGCGATCGTGGGGAGGGCGTGGCGGGGTTGGGTGAGGATGCTGTGATGGCGTTTACGGCGTTTGGCGGCCCGCTAAGAGACGACGGAGGAGGGGAGGGGCGACGGAGCAGCTCGGGGAGTATTTGGGTGCTACAGAGGTGAAGGGATCTCGGCATGAAGTGGCTGGCCTGGTTTCTTCTCACCAGTGTAGCACGGGGGGGTTGTTGGTTCGCGCGAGGTTGGTCGAATTCCGCCTGTGGGGGCAGGTGCAGTTGTTTGGAGGACACCGACACAACTGCTCCTTGAACGCGGTCGTTTTCACCCTTAGCGGCGCGGCCGCCTCCGAGTCGTCGCCGGTGGCTGGATTGCTATTGCTGTTGCTGGACCTTCGGAATATCTTGTTGAATGCTTTGCTGGTTGCCTTGTTGACTGCCTTGGCTGCTTTGGCAAGCCTTATGCGTGCGGACATGACCTACTGAGGTGGGAAAGCCGGGATGTTCAATGGGTGATGTATCTTTATTCCGTATCTTGTATCTGGGAGGCGGCAATTAATGCTGAATATCTTGAGCAGTTTGCGAGCAAAAAAGACTTGAAAGAAGTTGTTGAGTTGTGAGAGAAGGGGATTAGCGGAAATGGTTCGGGGGCAAGTGCTCGAGTGGTCAGGCAGCATGGACGACATCGTGATCTGGTTGAGTCGAGGAAAGAGTTTCAGGGCGCGACTGTGAGAGGGAAGTGTCAGGGAAGTGCTGCTGGGAAGTTATGTGTTGTGGTCGAGCAAGGAAGCAGCGAAGTAACAGGAAGCAGGAGGCGGGAAGCAACGAAAAGGGGTACCGCTCTAGCCGTTCTGGGATTCAAGTCAACAACTGTGGAGCTCGAGTCTTGTAGTTCAGGTAACTTTTTGACACCTTTGGGTGCAATCAAATAGGTACCTAGGTAAGTACCTGTAGGCACCTAGAGGAAAACCCGTTTGCCGTCAGTATGGAAAGAGCGGTCGATGACAGCCGCCAAATTTTAGGTTGCTAATCTGGCAACCCACGGGCTGTCAGCATATTTGGTTCTGTTAGCGGTTTTTTCCAATTCTGACGGCAAACGGTCCTGGCACTTGCGTCCTTGAAAGATTATGCATTTTTCTGCTTCTTGTCCTGCAGCCAGCACCCTGTTTCCACCGAGACCCAATTTGAACCCCTTTTCGCTGGAGAAAGCAGCTTTGACACCACTAGCTCTGACGATGCGATTGGCCACAGCCTCGTTGCACTGCCGGTCAGGCTTTCTTGGCGACTGCGCCGCAGGAGGCCCGATTTCAGGCTGCAACACCTCAGCATTTCTAGAAAGTCGCGCTCATCCTCTGAATCGAATCTGGGCGCTTCACGCTCGTTTACACTAGCATCGATATACGGAAATGGACCCCTTCACCATCAGCGTCAGCGTCATCGCGGTCATCCAGATGGCCGACCGCGTCATCGACCTGTGCAAGAACTACCTGGGAGCTGCGCGCGATGCCCCCGCAGACCTACGGCTGATTCTGTTTGAGACGTCATCGATCAAGTCGGTGCTGGACAACCTGCACTTTCTCACATCGTGCAGCCATGGACCCTCGACACTGGAAAGCCTAGCGGGTGGTGATGGCCCGATAGAGGGCTGTCGACGTCTTATCTGCGAGCTCGAAGAGCTGCTCTCTGGACCACCTGGCGGCTCCAACGAGGACGGCGTGGCTGCTGACGGTGGGACTAAAAGACAGAAAGTCAAGACCGTTTTGACCGCTCTTGCGTGGCCGGCGAAGGGAAGCAAGGCGAAGAAGCTCCTGGGACAACTTAGCCAGCACAAGGAGACGATTAGCTTGGCTCTTACTACAGACTCTGCGTGAGTTTTTGTTTCAAGTTTGAGTGTGAAAAGTGTCGTTAGTGCCGAGGTTAAGTGTCCAATGCTGGATAGACGCGATATCAAGGAGATCAAGGCCAAGACGACGCATATCCAGAACACTCTTACCAGTAATTATTATTTCACGCGAAAGCGCTTCCGTTTAGGCCCCTTTCAGTTACTAACCAGTATTCCATCCTTGTGATCAATGTCCAGATCTCCAGAAACAGAAGGTCCACAAGTGGCTTCAGTCAACCGACCCAAGGCCTCTCCACTATCGGGCATGCGAGCAATACGAAATCGGCACTGGGGACTGGATGTTGCGCTCCGACGAATGGAAAGCCTGGCTCGACAGCAAGACTCGTTGCCTCTGGATCCACGGCATTCCCGGAGCAGGAAAGACAATCCTGGCCTCTCACATGATTGAGAGCTCGAAGGAATTGAACCGCAGCGATGATTACG